ATATAAATATATATATATGCATGCAGATTTATATATAGGGTATATTTTTATGAGTTAATCTTCATATAGAATTATCTTAGGGTAAGCTATTTTCTATCATCATGATTAATTTTCTTGAAAATTGCTTATTAAATGAAGTTGTCAGATTGAAAAATGCTAAATTTTTAATAAAAAGCAAAAGAAAGTTATTACTAAGATCAGGGCCAGCACATACTATGCCAGAACACACCAATTGGTGGTTTGGAGCCTGATTGGGGACCCCAACCAGTGCTTTGTGACCCTCACTATCTTATCAACATTTACTTTTTTTATAACAAGATATACATGCATTCAAAATTAAACTAAGGACAGCTATTAAAGGATTAAAAATTTGCACAAATTTCTACGTAATTCTGGTTTCTTTTTTTGGTCTCCATTTGCAAATTTGTTTTGCTTACGATAAGTCTTGAAAAAAAAAAAAAAAAATAAAATTCACTATTTTTTATTCATAATTCTGAATGTGTTAGAAAAAATTATTCAACTCTCAAAAATCTCAAGTTGACATTAAAAACTGTCACAAAACATTGATTTATATAAGATGGAATGATCTATATTTCAATTTAGATACATTGTATTTATTTTCAATTTTTTTAGTTGAATTTTTCACCTATATTGCTTATAATACATTATTGTACATAACTAGGTTACAATAAAATTTGTATTTTATATGAATACTACCATATGAAAATTGAGGTCTAGTAGAGTGGGGGAACACCATATTATAGATTCAGGGCCCATATCATAGATTTGGTGGGGTCCCATGAGACCCTTGCTCCAGCCCTGACTAAAATAGACATTTACATTATACATTGATAGATTTAATTAATACCTATTTGTGAAAGCAGTCCATCCCAAGATTGATGAACATGGGATAGTATATATCACATCTTTGGTATTATCTTCTATGAATACAATGTATTCAGCAGCAATGCCTAGCAAACAGTCAATTTCTTTACTGAAGCCATGGTCCTCAACCTGAAATATATTGCAAACAAATTTGAAATCTGTTTATTTTTAATAAAGGAGAGTAAAATTTGAACATAAATTTATATAAATCTGGATGAAAAAAAAATAGAGGAATTTATTATTAAATGATTTACATTCTTTATAAAGTAGAAAAAAAAATTAAGTAAAAATTACAAAAAAAATTTTGATTTGTACTTATCAAAATATATTCATAAATTTTTCTATGCATTAATTTTTTATGATAATGTTATTTTTATAATGAGAAATTCCTTTCTAAAGTCTTAAACTAATTCCATGTAACTCAGAATAAATGTATTTTCTAAGTTCACATTTTAATTAAAATAGATGTATATTCTACGATATTAATCATAACATTAAATTTTACTTTGGCTTAATTTAAATAAAATTTGAAAAGTTAAAAAAATAACAAACTTTAACAAAGAACACAGTAGCTCCTTTAGCATGGAAATCAGGGACAATTTTCACTTTGCTTCGTTCCTTTTTCCGACCACTTCCAAGAGTAAATTTACCTGTAGTGTATAAAAAAAAAAATATTCAGTAAATAGAAAAACATTCTAATTCAACCTGTTAGCCGACGGCTTTCCCCCCATCTTGCTCTCTCGTCTACCCCTCCCCATATCTATATGTGTATCTCTCTCTCTCTTCCTTCCATATAGAAAAACCTTATTTAAAAATCTTTTTTATTTTGTAAATTTTTTCCCTTTCTTTTTTCTCTATTTCCTGGATTTTTTTTTTTTTTCCTGTGTCTGGATAAATTTAAATCCATTTATTGTTGTAAAATTCTTGGTCTGAAAATTTGGAAATGGTCATATGGATTTCTAAGGACTCTGCTTTCATCATTTATATATATATATATATATATATATATATATACACACACACACACACGTGTATATTTCAGCAACAGGTTTCATTGAATAATTTAGACGTTACCCCAATGATTATACTGTGTTATGTTGAAAGTACTCAGAAATAAACAAAATATGGTGATTTTCTCTCATCCTTCAATAATGACACCAAAAAAGCTTATCCACAAATATGAAAGTATCTTATTGAAAATAAGTAGTCAAAATTTGTCTGAATTATTCAATGAAACAGGTCTCTCTCTCATATATATATATATATATATATATATAGATCCGACAGTATGAATAAAAATATACGGAAAAAACAAACAAAAATCATAATATGCAATTATGCTGTTTTAATGTTGATATAATGTTAACGTCAGACATAGACCATCTTCAGGACATATTCATAAAACATAATTAACATTAGACTATATTCAATTCAACATGAAAAGACGATGGACATAAGAGTAAGACTGATCAAAACAGATAACAGAAATTTTTCAAGATCAGTGTTCCGTTTCACAATATGATCACGTCGACATCACGTGGGCGATATTGTGAAAACGTATTCCTAAAATAGAGTATTTTGAATGAAAAATGAAAAGAATTTTATTTTAATCTAAAACTTATATGTTTGTCAAACATTAATCTTGCTAGAAAAGGGGAAATATTAAAAAAGTCGGGTCTAGTATTCACGTCCAACGTTGACATTATATTGAATAATATAGAGATATGTCTATTTATTTATATAATAATCCTTTTTAGTTCAAGGAAGGCGCAATAATTCTTTTCCCTCCTCAAGATCTTTTCGATCTCCTCAGAGATCATCCCCAGGGGTGAATTACAAAGACAAACTTATTGTAACTGTGATTGTTGTGATGGTGACTTTTAAAAACATGCACGAAAATGCTCTGTTATAATTATTTTAATGTTTTTTAATTTATCTGTTGTAGCTATGGAATGTTTTGCAAAACAAGTATTCTAATATAAGGGAGCTAACCAGAAATTGATAGAAATGCAAAATGTCATTAAATGTCCGTTATGTGTATATAATAAAAATTAATAAATACAATAAAATACAGCTAAGTCATTAACCATTTTAAAGACTACATTCCTTTTTACAAGATTACTTCCGGTTTACTTATATTTTTGATTGGATATCAATTTCAGCAAAATCTAACATTTAAATATTAATATAATTTAATATTATGATAACTATTCTATTCTAATTAGGCATGCAAAATTAATTTATTTTGGACACTAACATCTTGGTGTAATGAAACAATTTTAGGAATATTTTGCGATATTTTAATTTATGCTATTTTTTTTAATCCAACTTTTTTCTTCTGAGTGAAATTGAATAGACTGAACTGTTTGTAAGCAGTCAATGCACAAAATCACAAGTCACCATGACTGAGGGTTTGTGCAAATTGGAGTTATTCAAACTACTGATCATGCAGTGGAATTAAAGAATTGTTAGTTTTTTTATATATCTAAATGTTACATTTAATTAAAGTAGGAAAATATTTCCAGTGTTTTTTTTTCTTTTTAAACACTATGTGTAAATAAATCTGATACAAGAAAATAAAACTACCAAAAAAATTATGAAGATCAGAATAAATTTTAATTACAGAATATAAAAATTTGAATACAGAAAAATAACGAGCAAACAAATTTAATGATGATCACTCAAGATTTATCTAGTGGAAGTGAGCTTTGTAAAATGAAGCTAACGTTTTGATAAAACCGGGTCAGAATAGATTTTGTTAGAAAACATTTAGCTAAAATATATTGGCATACTGCCAATCATAATATTTTCTTTGCTAACATCTACAACACTTAAATAGCTATCATGGCAGCTGCTGTGATAAAGCTTATGTGTATTACACAAGTCTTCTTCTACTCAAAACATGGTTGAGAGATTAAACACTGATTACTTATAAAAGCAAACAATTAAATGGTATATTACTATTAAGATCAAATGCCCTTCCCTGAGAGAGACTTTTAAAAGTGACACTACTTTGATTTGGTTTTAGTTAATTAAGTTTAGTAATTTATCATTTGAATTAAAATATATTTTCTATAATTTGGAATATAAATTTATTAGCAGAATTTTTGTAATCTTACTTTCATTTTTTTCCCTGGAATATTGCTTCCATTTTGAATAATTGACTGAATGGGCCATTTTTTAGTATTTTATTACTGAAAATATTATTTTTAGTGATCACATGTATCTAAGTCAAGGGTCTTTTTTTTTTTTTTTTTTAATTTTCTTAAACAGTAAAATTAATATCAACTGGTTTAGATTGGTCCTACTAAAGAAATATGTGACAGAGGAATTGAGCCAGGCATATTTATCCTTTCAGAGAACTTCTTGAGCTAGTCCAGTTGATATTAATTTCACTGAAGAAAATAAATACAAGTATGTTAACTCAAACACATGTATGCACTAAAAATAACGTCAGATTAAAATATCCATTTAAAATTATAAAGTACATCAGAGGGCAAAACATATCAGCTAAGTTTTCCTATGTCAGTAAGATATAAAACACAAGAGTGGAAAAATGAAAAATCTTTTTTGCTTTTCTTTCTTTTTGTAAGCTTTGCCTCATATTCTTTTTGTAAGCTTTGCCTCATATTCTTTTTGTAAGCTTTGCCTCATATTTTCCATTATTATAAATATTGCAGAGTTAATGTTGTACTATTTTTTTTCTTAGGTTTGTATTAAGCTTATATACTCATCTTTATAAGGACTTTTTTTAAAGATAAATTTAAGATTTGTAAGCTAAATATATCACTACCTTTTTATGATTAAAATAAAATTTTTTTTTAATATTACTTACCTAAATTAAAAAAAAATTTTTTTTTTATTTCAACAAGAAAATTGATCTCTTATGTACAATAATGAAATCAGTGACTAGGAAGAAACATACAATTTCAAAATAAGCTTCATGATGGGTAAAAGGATGTATGTTGATAAAAAAACAAAGTAGGTAAGATCTTAAAATTTTTGTCTATCTTGTTCAGTTCAAAAATTGGTAAAACATACTCAGTTTTGAAGTGGAATCTAAAGCAGTTGAGGTCACATAGTTGGTTGCCAAGTCTCTGAGATATTCCTGATGAGTTCGTGCAGCCATAGCTTTAAATTTCTCAGATTGATGAGCAGCATTTTCTCCATTTATCACTGGAAGTAAATGTTAATTTAATCTTTGATTTTCACAATTATTAGGGCAAGATACAGTTTTTTTTGTTTTTTTTTCAAGTCTGTACATGTAACTATTGTAAATCTCAATTGAGTGTTACTTTTAAAAATTTGAAAGTAAATATTTAAATGATAAAAGATATATTAAAATTATTTTTTGATAAATTAATAAAATTGTCTATATTTCTGAGATGTGATATTCTATTTCAACTATTTACATAGTTCAAAGTGTATAATGGCTGATATGTTGTGAATATGACAAAGATAAGGACAAGTCAAAACAATGTAAATAATGTTAATAAAATAAATTAATAAAAACAAGTTTTGATAAAAATATCATTTATGATAACTGATTATTAGTGGAAAGCAAAGCAAAAAAATTTGAATATTTAAGACAATATTGGATACAAATTTATGATGTATACCTTTAGCAAACAAGAAATCGGTGAATTCTGGTCCTTTTTTGAATGGTGTTTCGGGTATTGGTGGTCCAAAAGGTGGAACATCTTTGCAACGGCTCACAGCAACACTATGATAAAATATTATGATTTTTGTTTTACTTTTCTAATAAAAATGATAAAATAAAAAAAGAAAAGAAAAAGTTTTTCAATTTTAATGGTAAATGATTCCACTTTAAGAGATTATTTTAGGCAAAATTGTTAACTTTAATTTTCACTGAAGAAGAAATCAAAATCTAAAAATAACTGCATAAAATACAAGAATAGTTTCATATTTATTGAAAATTACATGAATAGATAACTTAATATAAACTCTTGGTAAATTCACATGACCTTTAAAAGAGGTCTAATGTAGATATAAATCCCAAAATTCAAGCTTTCTTTTTCCCCCAAAATTTTTTTAATAAAACTAGGCTTTTAAACTAACACTGCTTTGTTTATATTTAAAATCATATCACTTTTAAAAATGTTCTAAGAATATGAAAGAAAAATAGAATAATAACCTGTAAGAAACTTCGGGTGTATTTGGATTATGAACTCTAACAATGATGAAAACATGTTGGAAGTGAGATCGAACAGACTTTGGAGTAAATGGCAAAGCTCCTGGCTCCTGAAACACTATGCTGACTATATCATTCCCTATATGACGTTTACGAAGGAGCTGAAAAAACAGAAAGAGAAGTTAGATAATTAAAATGGAAACAATGTATTTGAAATTTTAATATTTTAAATAGAAAAAAAAAAAGTAAGTAGTTCTGTTTCTTTTAAATTTTTCAACTGACTTTCACAGAAAAAAATGTAACAAAACAACAGAAGTAATGTTAAAGAAAATATTAAATATTTTGAACAATTTAGTCTTTTCTTTTTATTCCACTTGCCTGGTTCACATCTTATTAAAGTTGGATTTACTTCCTACATTTTATAGAAATTTCTTAGGCATTTACACTTTGGAAATAGTTCAGCAGAATTAAAAAAAAAAAAAAAAAGTTATTGAAAATTCACATTCTTAGTTTTCATATTTGAAGAATATTAAACATTTAAACATTTTCTTAAAGTCTAAATACAGTCTTGAGTGTCTTTAAACATACTGACAAAGTTATATAAGTGAATCTAAAATAGAGTTCCAAAACTATTGTAGATGCTCAGTAAAATAATAATATACTAAAAAAATGAATGTTAATATATTCATATATATATATATATATATATATATATATATATATATATATATATATATATATATAGAGAGAGAGAGAGAGAGATTTAGTTAAGTCTGACTCAGAGTGGTCATTGTTTGTGGTAATCTTTAATATCAGGATGAAGAAAAAAAAATTTACTGGATAAATTATTTAACAGAGGATGGTATAGAATACTCATCTAAAGTGTAGTCACAAAAACAGTAACAAGACAAAGTTAAAAATACTTGTTTTAATATTGAGGAGTATTGATTTACTGAAAATCATTTTATAGAAAAAAATGACTATATAATAGATAGAGGCGAGAGAGATATTACATAAAGAAATTATTCACCTGCTGTCTGTTACTTGGGGTAAAGGGAAGCAGAGTAGAAACATGAAACATGATCTCATAGTTATTGAAAGTACTATATATAGAATGAGTTCCAGTTGAATCCACTGAAATGTAAAAAAAAAAAAAAAAAAAAAAAAAAATTAAAATTTAAGAAACTATTAAAAACTTTAACAAGTTAGAAGATAGCTTAAATTCATCTCTCAAACATTGATGATATAAGATTTTGCTTTTCTTAAAGAACAAAAGAAAAAAATGAAAAATATTAGTATTAGAAGCCATAGCTAATTATTACATTACAAAGATTTCTTTAAAACAATTTAGAATATTCTTGACATATAAATTATTTAAATTTATCTTCTCCAAAATTAAAAATTCTGTATATAATAAAATTTTAAGATAACATATTCCTTTATAAATGTTTTGCAAAAAAGAATGAATGAACAGATCAAAAGATGTACAAAAAAATATTTTCAAAATGAGAGAAAGAGAAAAACTCACTCTTGTTGTCCAACTGTCCGCGATATTTATCAAAGCCCTTTAACCGAACACGAGTTCCAATGCATTCCAAGAATTCTTCAAATGCAGGACCATGTATTTCTAAAAGTAAAGTATTTAATTTATAAAAATATGAAATACCATTTTACCTTTTAACATTTTAATAAAATTGTAATGTGCCCATTAAAACCTTTTTAATTAAATAAACAGTAAGCTTGTCTTTAAATTACTGTTTACTTAATGACTAATTATATCACTTAAGTGAAATAAAATGGTCGTTTGTGAATTTAATCAGACTCAAAAGATCACACTTTAATGTTTAAATAAGCTGAAGACTATAAAAATGACTTTCACAAAAATATAAATAAATAAAATTTGTGGTCTTTCAAAAGAATATTGTGGAAAGAATACAATTTTTATTTGAACAAGGAATTTTTTTCTTAATACAATACCACTCCATAAGCTACAAAATTTCAATCAAAACAATGTCCAAGATGCCCCTTAAAACAGACTCATCTGAGTCTGATCATTTAGATCTCAACAGTCTGGTACTGCTGAATTTTATATACATTTGTAGTATGATTCAAGAAATGTGAAGATAATCTTGAATTTAGCAAAATCTCTAATTAGAAAGTAAACTGTTCATTTGGAAATTAAGAATAGTAAAAAGATTTATAAAATGACAGGACATTAATTTTGAATAATTACAAAAACTAGCAGTACAAGAAAAATTTAATGATTTTCCTATTTGAACTTGTTGAATCAATTCGTAATTTAATGATTGAATAAGATCCTTGCAAGTTCCACAACTATAAAATACTCATGGAAATTCCCCTATTGTATTGTATCATTAAATATTTGAGCCTAATAATAATAATAATAATAATCATAAGTATTAATGCAGGTCATTATTTAAACAAATAAAGGGAATACAAATGAAAAGATTCAAAATTGACATGGTTTTCTATTTCATTGAAGCAGACAAGAGAGAAGGCTATCTTATTATGTATGCTTTCTTTTTCTCATTAAAACCAGACTGTATGTTTGATAGATCTTTTTCTTCTATCTTTCCTCACAATCAAAACAGAAGGGTTCATTATTAATCTGAGGTAATGGTAGAGCATAACATGTAGTAACAATGAAGAACAAGCAGAATTATGATTTTGTTTTATATTTGGTAATTCTTTATTCAATAGAATAAGTATTTAAAATTAGTGAAAAACATATATGATGTATAACTGATGAATTGTTCAAATACTTTATTTACAAACTGCATTAAACAGAGGCTTCATATATTTGAATTAGGTTATATGATGTATTCGGTGGAGGACGGATGTATTCAACATGATAATTTTGTGGCAATATGTGCTTAAAGGTTTTAGACAGTTTTAATCAATATTTGTTTTCATGGTTAGCCGTAAGGAATTATAAATGTAGGACATTTAAGTAAAATAATATTTATTAAGAATTTATTAAAAGGAAATATCAAATTTTATAGAAACATTGTTGACCATTATGTATTTACTTACATAACTAATAAATAAAAATAATATAAATTTTGATGCTATATTTCATTTGTTGTTAAGGTATTTTTCATTTTCTCCTTTGTTATTGGCAGCATTTTAGAACTTGGCTGCTAAGTTTGAACAAACTGGAGTTATTTCATTTATGCTTTGTTATCTCTCTTTTACATTGTTGCTTTTAGATTGCTTTCTCCCAGTTATTTTGATGGGCAATAGCAAAATTTTGAAATTTAGAATAATCTTATTCCATTTCAAAAATAAAGCCTGAAAAGGAATATTTTAAATTAATATATGAGCAAAAATAAAATGCTTAATGTTTCACAATAATTATCTATGGTTTACTATCTCATCTTATTGTATGGTTATGAACTATAAACTGAAATTGAGCTTGAAATATTGTGGAAGAAAAAAAAAGAAAAGAAAAAAGGACATCATTAATTTGCAGTGAAAAAAGCAATTTTCAATTTTTTGTTTAATACACCACTTCTTACGTTAAACGTATTTTATGTACCATAAATACATAAAAATAGTTACCATTGTTGTACATTTCTTCTTCTGTGGATTGGTCTGCTTTGCAATACATGATTCCAACTTTATAAGAAGTTGTGATCTAAAATAAAATGATTTTTTGTTACCATTTTTATCTACTTACATAGAAAGAGTGTATTAAAATGTTACAGAAATTCTAAAGAAAATAAAATGTTTAGAATAATGAAGGATTTATAGTTAATAAATTAAACCAGTTATACAAGAAAATTGTTTAAAGTTTTAGTCAAATTTAATATTAGCAGATGTAACATGTTTTGAATATTAAAAAGTTTAATGTATTCAAATCTTTTAATCCCAAGATGAAAGATCATATTTTAATAGCTTGTTTACTAGTTATTAATTTTATACTTGTTTGTTGTGTATATTTATATTTTAATGATTCATCATAAAATTATTTATAGCTGCTTTCTTTCATTTTGAAGATATTTTCAGACCCATCCTTTAAAATAAAATTAGTGATTAAAAGAACTTGTTCAATATAAAAAAAAAAATTATTTGTGTGTAAAAACTCAAAGATAACTAAAAATTTATCTGTAAAAAGACGAGATGAATAAATGACAAAAGGAAAACTTTTCTTTACCAACACATTTCGTCCTCTGATGGCTTTAACAAGGTAAATGTAAGGATTTTATTTTACAACAAATATTTATAAATAGAAGTAAAAATGTTAGTTTTGCAGAATCTTCAAATTTAATAATGCTCATAAAATTTACTGAAAGTTAAGATTAATTTAAGAAGGATGCCAAATATTATTTAATGTCTAATAAATGAGAATAAATGTTATTGCTGAATTTTTATAATGTAATTATTATCTATATTATTTTAGTTTGAGTAATTTATATATATATATGTGTGTGTGTGTGTGTGTGTGTGTGTGTGTGTGTGTGTGTGTGTGTGTATATATATATAGGTAAGTATAGTGCGATGTATAAATCGTCGTCTAAATTAAATATAAAAATGAAAATAACACTGACATCTCATTTTAACTGATATATATTGCCAAAATTTCACAAAAATATCTTGAAATAGTCAAGAGTAAATTTATTCAATAAAATCACCACTGGCTTCAACCATGGCCTCCAGATGACTTTGGAATATCCCGCAGCTCTTCTGGACAGTCTCCTTGTTTAAGTTACTGAATGCTGCCATAATCCTTGCCTTCAGTTCATCTTTGGAGTTACAAGGAATTTTGTTAGTCTCTCGCTCAACTGTGCCCCACACATAATAATCAAGGTGGTTGCAGTATGGGGAGTTAGTTGGCCAGATGTAAGAGGTGATGTGGTTGCAGAAATTGTCTGGCAGCCATGATTGGGTTCTCCTGCTTGTACGACATAGTGCAGTCCTGTTGCCAGACATAGGGTCTTTCAGCAGCCACCCTTTTAATCCAGAGCAGCACTACCTCCTAAAGGCACTTGATGTAGAGTCTGAGGCTCTGTGGAAAGATGAATGGAGACATAATGTCACCATCACTAGTGATCACTCCAGATACCATGATGTTGACTGGATATATCATCCAACTCTTTCTGAATTCTCTGCACTGTTCTTGGACTGACATCCAAACACTCTGAAATGTTTGCATTGGAACTTCTGGAGTGAATTCCAAGCAGCACAGCATGCCATTTTCAAATTTCTGGTGGAGTGAATTGTGTCATGGTGCTCTTTCTCACAGATAGTACCTAACTGACCCTACTATACTGTGCAGTTGACAAAATCATAAACAACGACCATGCATGAACTTAAAAACATAAAATGGTGACAATTTACCCATCACAATCTCTATGTGTGTGTGTGTGTGTGTGTGTGAGCACACGTGTATGTATGTGTTATATGTGTAACTTTTTTTTTTTTTTTTTTTACTCCTTGCTCATCTAATTTCATAAGTTGATCAGCAATCTTCTGACCAGAAATGGCTTGTTTTAAGCAAGAAAGATTCACTTCAGGCAAAACATACTCCAAGACATCTTTGGATGAAACTCCCCTGGAACTGCTTAAACGACTAGATGATGGAATGGCATCTTCCAAAATTGAACCACGATGAGTTGCCAGCTGCAATAAATAATATTAGTTGGAGGCATTCTTTTTTTTTTATTAATTCATCCAACATAAGGAAATAATGCCACTAATATACATGGGGCTACTGGGAGTGAAAGAGAATGAAAACACTTTAGAAGGAACCAGAAACATAATTATAAAACAGGAAACAAGGGATAAAACTTTACTCTTGTTCAGAAGACTTGGGAGGAGTGTGAACCAGGTGATAGGCAAACATAACTATTCTTATTGAGGAAAAATAAATAAATCGTAAAGTGGAGACATTCGGAGTATATATTTGAAATAGAAGGAACAGGAAACCTAATCCCAAATGGGGAAACTAGTGATAAATTTCTACTCCTGTTCAAAAGACAAGGGAGGGTCTGAACTGGATGATACATTCCTTTCTGGTCTTTTAAACAGGAGTTTATAGACAGAGCAATAATAGAATAACAAGTGGATGTAATGATTCTCAGAGGAGCCATCTATGAATCTCTAGAGTCAGGATGCTGAAGGTAACATCAATCAGCTAAGTGAGAAACTTTCACTTGATTTAGTATTAATTATATATATATCCTCGGGTACAATGTAGAACAAATGGAATATAATTCCAATGTCCATAACAGTTAAAAGAGGGCTCAATATTATTTATTTTAGGGTATATAAACTAAGTTTACCATCGGCCAAGGAGATACATTTGTAGTGTTGAAACATAATCGCCATGGTGTAGCAATTTTTAAAAACTTTTTTGCTTTAATATCCCAAAATAGACAAATAAATAATAATAAGGCTATCTTGCCCAAGAAACACCACTTCTACTGTGGCTGCAGTATATATATATATATATATATATATATATATATATTATATGTATATTTAAAAATATGATTCCAAAACGAGACATAAGAAGTCGCATGTTTCAAAACAAGAGCCGAAAACTTCAATATAATTATTTAAATTAAATTGAGATAAAGTAAGCTCTGTTCCATCTTCAAGCAAAATTTTTTTGGAATAACGTATATCTGAAATTTACATGTTTTAAAATTTTGCTTGAAGATGGAACAGAGCTTACTTTATCTCAATTTAATTTAAATAATTATATTGAAGTTTTCAGCTCTTGTTTTGAAACATGAGACTTCTCATTGAAGTTTTGGAATCATGTTTTTAAATAAATAATTATATTTATGCTCTACTTTTGTATCGAGCACTATTTTTTAAAAATAATAACTAAAATACTAAGGGACTTTGGATTATTTACCTAACCAGTTCCTTCCTATTTTCTATATATTTTCACACACACACATTATATATATATCTCCCCTGATCTGTAGTGCCATAAGAGCACTATGTTTACTGCAGCCACAGTAGAAGTGCTGTTTCTTGGGCAAGATAGCCTGATGAAGCCTAACCCTCTCCAGGCTGGTTTTAAATTCAGAGTTTTTCCTTCTCCTGGGCCAGTTGCCATCCAAGGTAATAGAACTCAGTTTGCTCTGCTATTTACCTATAGCTGGGGGGGGGGACAAGAGTATTAGCATGTAAGTGAATATAATGGATCCAAGTGGAATTTGAACTCAATCCAAGCCACTATGTATACATAAGATCAAACTTTTTTTTTTACAGATATTTATATATTTAGACACATATAATGAGTGAAAAATACTAAGTTTTCTATTTCTTTATAAGTTTTATTTTTTAATGTCATATTCCTTCTGCATACAGGCAATCATCTCTCTAAGCAGATTCCTTTTCTTTATTATCTGTGAATTGTCATGACTCCTTGGGAGAGATAGACAGATTTTCTGTTATCTTCTCTATAGTTTTGAATACAGTGTTGTCTTTCTCCTAGACTGGCTAGCATTTAAGGTTTCAGAACCTAGTCTGCCCTGCCATAACACATAGCTGAAGAGAGAAATGGATTCATGACTTCCCCCATTTCTGCAAATGTGAATATAACAGACTAGGATTAAATTTGAACACAGCCCGCTGAGTTAATTTCTCATACTGATCATCACTGTGATATTAACACGATACTTATGATGAATGAATTGTTTAAGTAAAGACCTATTATACCATTTAAAGATATAAATATAAATTAGGAGGAGTGAAAGAATAGTAATACAATAACAATGCTCCTAATTCTGGAGTGAAGAGATTTTTATATCATTCACCATTTATAAATAAATAAATAGCCTGAATAGATTTTCTTTTTATAACTTACACAAATGTCAGTTTCCCTCTGACATGAAGCAGAATAACTATATTGAATCAATTTTGTTATGTCTGTTGTTTAAAAAGTTGGTTCAATGTGTCAATCTAGACAATTTTTCTAGCTAGAATTTATCTTAGACTTTTATAAATCTATAATTTGTCAGTGCATCGAATATTGCTGCCACATTTGGTCTGGTGCTTCTGCTATGTATTTAGAGATTTTTTAACACAATGCAAAGAAGAATCTGCAAGGTTATCAGTTCTGACCTGGCATCTCAGCTTCAATCATTTTCCATCATAGGCTTCCCTATGCCTTTTCTATAAATATTTTCATGGCAATTGTTTTGAGGAGCTTTCCTCTTGGGTAGCTAGACTTTATGAATTTAAATTTAGTTTTAGACTGGCAGCTAGGTCTCATCATTTTGCAGTTGAAATGGCTGCTAGATTCAACCATAAATTCTATTCTAATTTCAAATTTACAAAATATTTTTTTCCAACAATAAAATATTAAATTTCATATACTTCTTGCATTATAAAAACAAAATTTTAAATTCTGTTTTTTTTTTTTTAATCTTCTGACATCTTAGTGATATACAAGGTAATAATTCAGTTGAAAAATAGTATTTAAGGTTTAGATCAGAGGAGAGGGAAATGGAATTTCCAAATCTTACTTTTTCACAAGTTTTTCATTGACTGCAATCTTCATCAGAATAAAATCTATTTAAATACCCTAGCATTCTGTTGAACTTTCTGTTTATTGAAGTATGCTTCAGTTTATTTATTTACTAATTAGTTATGAATTAAAACAAATTACTGCACATGTATGCAAGTTTTAAAATCTATCAATGTTTTCTTTTACTATTAAATTTGTAAAACACATCTATAAAAATAATCCATGTAAATAAATGTAGTAATATGAAAAAGAATGATTATTTTCAACAATATATGAATATTATTTGGAATGCACCTTGTGAGTTGGACAATCTTGGAAAGGTTTTTTTTTTTTTTTTATTGATTCATTTGTTTTCTACAGCTTATGAATAATTCTTGGAAAGGGTGGGGAATGATATTCTGACATATGGTGAAAAGGGGGCATGGAGCAAAAAAAAAAAAGAAGGTTAATAATCAAGGGTTTAGGTGTTCAAAAACAATGTGAATATTCTATATAGATTAATATTTAATTTCCAAGTACTCATTTAATTTATTCACAAAATATGATGAGTGTTCACAACAAAAGCTATTCAATTAACAAATGTTCACATATCAAAATGTTTATGACATGGGAAATTAATTTGCAACAATTATGACAAAAGAAAAAGTTATTCTAATTTAACATTCTCTCATAGCAAAGGACATAAAAATGACATAAAAATGTAAAGATAAAAGTTTTAATACTATTTTAATATGCTATTAAATGTTGTAACTAGTCTATTGTTATGTCTTATATAGATTGTTTTAATTATGTTCAGGATACAATGAGTCCCCTAATTTTCAATGAATATACAATAGCTAAAAACTGGTAAATATATTAATTTTGTAATTTGATATTTAGATGCAAATCAGAATTTAAACAAAAAGTATAAAGAAAATTCTTGTATAAACTGACAAATATCACCAGAATTATGAAACAAATATTTATATTCATACAATATACAACAATAACATTAATTAATATATAAATTTAAAGAAAGATATTTTATTAGATATTTTAACAGAGTTTTTTGTATGGTTGCAGAAAAAGTAATGAGATTTGAAGATAATATTTTTCCATTGCATAGATTCTAAACAGGAAATATCTGTCACTAATAGATAATTATACAAAAAGGTTTGAACCACTCTTCTTTATGTATAGTATCTCTTCAGGATGTGGGTGAGCCTGGCTCTTGATAACTTCCTGTCCTTTGTAGCTCTTAGTAATGTTTACTTCTTTGTTTTTAACTTATCCTTCCCACTTCTAGATCTGCCATTCATTTACATATCCTTGTTAGTTAGATTACTTGCTGTTTATCTCTGTACCTTTTACCTATGAGTATCAAATTCTCCAAGCCCTCTTTCTTCCTCATGTCTCCCAGAAGTTTCAACTTTCTAAGTATAAATGTCCTGAAATTTTAAAATATTTTCACGGTAACTGTTCTGGTGAGCTTTCCACTTTGGTACCTCGACTTCATGAATTTAAGTGCATTAGTAAGATTGGTAGCTAGGTCTTATCTTACAGTTGAAATGGCCACTAGATGTAACCGTAAGTTCTATGCTAAGTTTATTTTCTCACACTACTTGATTGTGGAACTCTTCTGGCTTGTTACTTTCCAGTTAACTTTGATCCTTAAAAATTTAAATGCAATGTCAATTGTCAGCTTCTGTCTCCTTGAATCCTGTTCTTTTATTGTTCTCTCTCTTTAATAATGTTTGTTTCTTCAGACTCTTTCATTCTCAGTAACCCCCCTTGCATCTTAGTGGCTTTATTGCCTTGCTTGAGATGAAATCAAAAAAGAAAAACTTTATAAAGTTGGCAAACAAAAGGAAAATTTTACTTTAAGTTTTAAAATTTTCCAATTCAGAGCAAGGACTCAGCTTCAATGAGATTACTTTTATCAACTAGTCCCACCCCCAAAAAAAACAAAACTTTTTATGATTTTAATTCTCCAGAAATTATCTTCAAGATAAAAAAGTATTTTATTATGACTTCATAATATGTAAAATTAGAGAGAGAGAGAGAGAGAGAGAGATAGTATTTATGTTAAAATATAATTTATTTTTTCTAATAAAATGCATTAGTGCAACAAGTACCAAGAGTTTTATTTCAATAATTTGTAGTTTTGCTGCATTTTTTTTTTTAAAACATTCAAATCATTTATTTTTTTTTCAGTATTTTTTTTTTTTATAATTATAACTTATATAGTTTTCAAACAAATACCTTTGTTTCTTCATATTGAATAAAAATAATTTTTACATTAGAATATTTTACAATTCTTTTCAATAAAGTTAAATTTAAAAAATAATCCCTATTTACCTGAGATATAAAAAAAAAAAAAAATCTATCAAATATATCAATTTGATACAGAATAATATCAATCTCTTATTAAATCAGTATTATTTTTATGCACTGAATGTAAATGATAGAATAGAATAGAAAAAAAAAAAATTTTTTTCGATACTTACCTCACTGGTCCTGAAAATGATACGGTATTGAGTTTGCCCATACTCAGATTTACTGCCAAGGTTTTCCCTTTCAGTTTTTTCTTTTTTAATACTAACAGCAATGGGGCCAAGGTTTTCATCAATACCAAAGTAGTTTTGATGGTCTGCAAGAAAATCCTCAAACATTTGATCTTTTTCAACAGAATTTTTTTTTTTTGCATCTAGATTTATTTTTAATGTCATTTTCTTTCATTACTTTGGTGATTATGATTTTACAAATTATTTTTATTACATGTAAATTGCTGTGACTTCTTGGGAAATAGGATGGTTTCCAGCAGCCTTCTCTACAAAATTGAATTCAGAGTAATCATACTAGATTAGCTTAAGAGCCCAGTCTATCCTGCTATTTAACCCATAGCTAAAGGAAGAAGAAATGGATTCATACCTTTCCTAAGAGTATTTGTGTGAAAGTTAACACAATGACAGATGCCATAATGATATATTTTCCTTTCACAATACTGCTAACAATTAGCATACACCGGTTTTTAAAACAGCCATAAAAAAAAAAATAAAAAATTTTTTTTTCCCTTTTTGTCTATTAATCACTGTTTTATTAAAAGCAAATACTTAAATTTTAATTTTTATTTCTTAACAAAAACTGATAAAATGAGAAATAGTAAAAGCGATAAATGATAAACATTGAATAATTCTTCTCTACTATCAATTATCTGCTTTACAAATATTTTTAATTTTCAAGAACATTACTCCTGTTTAGTTGTTCCATTTATTTATGAAATATGTATGCAAATGTAACAATAATGGGACAGAATTGGGTTGAAAATTTTTTTGTGTGTGGGGAGATTTTTATTTCCTTTTGCTTCAATAAAAAGGCCCACTTTATGTGCATATACAATTTTATTACTTATACAAAATTTGAATATGGAGACAAATATTAATGAAAGATTTCCTTATTAATACTCAAACACACATAACAAAAATACTTGCAATTAGAAAAACTATAGTTCCAATAACTAGGAAACCCCCCCAACAAAAAAAAAAAAAACACTATTGGCAGATAATACTAACATAAAAGTTATCCAGAGAATTACTATTATTCAATTAATCTAAGAAAATATGATTCTTTGTCAAGTATTTTTTTCAAACCTTTTACCAAAGAACCTAGTCTGTCCTCTATTTACCCATAGCTGGAGGGAGGAGAAGAGGATTGTACCTTTCCCAAGGGTATTAGTATGTAAATAAATATAATGAATTCAAGTGGAATTCAAACTTTGCTCTCCAATCCCTCAATCCGAGACTTTTTTTTAATTCTTTATTTTATCATCCCATATGCCAAAAGTTTAAGACTTAGATGGAAAAAAAATATTAAAATTAAAAATGGAAAAAAAAACAAACCAAAAACAAAAAAAAAAAAAAAAAAAAAAAAAAACAAAACATTATTAGCTGATAATACTAGCTTAAAAGTTATCCAGAGAATTACTATATAATGGATTCGAGTGGAATTCAAACTTGGCTCTACAATCCCTCAACCGAGACTTCTTTTTAATTCTTTATTATCCCATGTGCCAAAAGTTTAAAAGACTTAGAGGAAAAAAAAAAAAAAAAAAAAAAAACTTTATTAAAAATGAAAAAACACTATTGGCTGATAATAATAAAAAGTTATCCAGAGAATTACTATTATTCAATTAATCTAAGAAAATATGATTCTTTGTCAAATATTTTTTTCAAACCTCTTACCAAAGAACCCAGTTTGTCCTCTACTTACCCATAGCTGGAGGGAGGAGAAGAGGATCGTACCTTTCCCAAGGGTATTAGCATGTAAATAAATATAATGGATTCGAGTGGAATTCAAACTTGACACATCAATCCCTCAACCGAGACTTTTTTAATTCTTTATCTTATCCCATATGCCAAAAGTTTAAAAGACTTAGAGGAAAAGACAGAGGGACAAAAAAACAAAAAAAACTCGCTATTGGCTGATAATACTAGCTTAAAAGTTATCCAGAGAATTACTATTATTCAATTAATCTAACAAAATATGATTCTTTGTCAAATAATTTTTTCAAACCTTTTAACTAATGTAATTTGTTAAACGGTTAATCATTCTACTGGAATTTTTTATTCTATACAAAAGATTGTAAAATCTTTGCCATGAACTTATTTGATTACAAATATTACTATCTTCAGAAAAAAGTATTCTAATGACTTAACAGTACATTGATACATAAAAATCAAATACACTATAGTCTTTCTTTACAGATTTCTTCCCCTATCAGTCAGTCAGTTATATGCCATGTGTGATATACACTTAGGCATTCATTCATCTTTTGATACACGACCGATGAGGTTGATGTTTTCCTGCAGTAGGTTACCATTTCTGTCTGCAGTAGATGGGTTGTGGTTGCAATCCAAGGATATAGAACCGGGTCTGTCCTGCTATTTACCCATAGCTGAAGGGAGAAGAAGATGATCGTACCTTTCTCAAGTGTATTAGCATGTAAATGAATATAATGGATTCGAGTGGAATTCAAACTTGGCTCTCTAATCCCTCAACTGGGACTTTTTTTTTAATTCTTTATCATCCCATGTGCCAAAAGTTTAAAACAGAGGGGAAAAAATAAAAAAAATAAAAAATTTTTTATTAAAAATTAAAAAAAAAATTGGCTGATAATACTAGCTTAAAAACTTATCCAGAGAATTACTATAAGAAAACATGATTCTTTGTCAAATAATTTTTTGAGACCTTTTAACAAAGAACCTAGTCTGTCCTGCTATTTACCCATAGCTGGAGGGAGAAGAAGAGGATCATACCTTTCCCAAAGGTATTAACATGTAAATAAATATAATGGATTTGAGTGGAATTCAAACTTTGCTCTCCAATCCCTCAATCCGAGACTTTTTTTTAATTCTTTATTTTATCATCCCATGTGCTAAAAGTTTAAAAGACTTAAAGAAAAAAGAAAAAGTACAAATTAATGAAAATTATATTAATTAGATTTAAAGCATTTTGAAAATTGGTTTTAAAGTTTTGTTTTACAATGTCCAGTTTGAATTCCCTGTAGGTTACCCAGATCAACATACATCTGATGAAGGCCAGACAGCACAATGGCTGAAATGTTATAATAAAGAGGAGGATATTAATCTAACTGCAAATAATGTAAATATGATTCCTATGTACAAGAGATTAGTAAAAACATCTATGGGTTAGAAAACTAGCCTTTGAAGCCATTATAGCTTGAAAGGGGTCCCACATTTTTAGTCTTAAGCTAAATGAATGCATATAGCAGTTATTTATTTTCCCTTCAAAATGTAAAAAACAAAAATTTAAAAAAAATGAATAGATCTCATGCTAATATAAAAAGAATGTTTTTTTATTCATTAACAGTATACTCAGACATAATGTTATATAGCCTAATACATTAAATATCATCAAGCAAGGCTGATTGCTTTGCAATATTACAAGGGGGTGCTAAAAAGTTTTTGATTTCACCAAGGTCATAAAAAAACAAAAAAAAAACAAAAAAAAAACACAGCTATATAGAAATTTATAACAATTAGAAAATATGATACAGCAAGTGAATTTTCTGTGGTTTTATAGAGGAAAAAATAACATGGGATTTCTGGGGGAACTCTTTAAAACATTAACTGGAATATTATTTCTACTAGACAACTTTATTATTTAGATATTAAACCCTATTGCATTAACTGCAATGATCATCATGAGGGACAGGTATCTGAAAGAAAATTCTATAACAATTATGAATTCCTTTATATTAAATAGATGCATTTTAAGTAAGGGAAATATCACCCCCCCCCACTTAAAAAAAGAATATATATCTTACTTTAGAAAAAAAGTATTCTAAAAATTAAAAAAAAATTATTCTAAAAAAGTATTCATATATATAAAGTTCATATATGCTAACAAGAGAAAATTGATAAAAGTTGTTCTTCACTCCTACTCTCTAACTGAGTCTTCATTCTAAAAACTACTATAGGTAATGCCAGAACTTACTGTGAAAAAAAAAAAAAAAAAAAAAATGCTATCAGTAGTTAGAAAATCTATGACAATTGAAACACTAATGCTAAATTTTATTGTTTTCTTCTTGATCTTTGTTAATAAAAGGGAAGTGTTTTTCATGGGGTACAGGTTTATCTAATGGTAATTAAGTTGCTAATATTTGTTAGTTAAAAAAATATCTTTTACTCCAATTCTTTCAGATGGAAAAGTAGCAAAATTTAGTTATCAATAAAAAATGAGTAAATTTTTTTGTTTTAACAAACAATATTTGAATAATTATGGAGAATTTGTTACTAGAAGTACTTTTTTTTTTATTAAACACAAGAAATATTAGTGTATAGGTAATATAATAGAAGCATACATACATTTACATTAGGGATGTAATTCATGTAGCTATATTTATGTGAAACTACTTCAATTAAGGTTTGAAGAAAAAAAAAAAAAAGGTAAAAAAGTAAAAAAAGTGAAAAAATTAAAAAAAAAAGGAAAACAAGAAAAAACAAATTAATCTAGGAAGCTTGCTAAGATAGACTTAATTTTAAAAAAAGAAATCAAAAGGAAAATAAATGGTATAGGTCATTTTGAAAATATTAAAAATAATTTTACAAATGCTAACTTAATAAAAGAACTGCTTTGTGTTGCAATTTTATTTACAAACAAGATCCAATTAAATATATTCATATACAATAAATCAAATATATGCATATTAATAAGGCAGGTAGGGTGTATCACATTGAATTGAAAATACCTTAATATAAGACATTTATAGAAAGACTGTAAAACCAAACAAATCCTTTAATACATTCATTTTATATGAGAATACAGATGTTATCAATGTATCAATTTAATAGAATCATGCCCAGCCATTTTTAATTCTAATATTTCTTTTGCATTTCAGTACTTGATATAAAAAGCTTTAAAAATCTGAATGAAACTTGTAATGAAATTTAGGGAAATAGGTAAAAGTTTTATTTTAAAAAATCAAAAAAAAACAAACCTGCATTCATAACTAATATGATTTTCTACTGGACAATTTTTGATACATTTACAGCATTTTAGCTTGATATTGATATTGGTCTTAATAAAGAAGAGCTTAGTGATGCCTCAACCAGTCTTATTATTAGACTAATCATCTAATTTATATAAAATAGTCTTTGTAATAAAACTTACAACTGATTTTATTTTATTTTATTTTTTTTTTTACACAAGAAAAAACTAATAAGGAACAAATCAGATAAACATAGAGGTCAAGCAATTGACTTAATTTAATGCAAAAATTCACCCTAATTATTAAGGAATATTAATAATGAAAATTTGATCAAGTGATAGTAAATTTTATAAAAGAAAAATTGAATTTGAAGCATTTTCAAATTGTTATTTACTCTATTTTTTTAAGACTTTTTAAAAACTATTCTTTAAAGAAATGTACAAGACTAAATAAAAAATATGTACTCACCTAAACCATAGAAATAGTTTCTATAGTAATGGGCACCATAGTCAACATATTCAATGATTTGATTTTTAATTTTGATGAATGGTGACAGCACTTGTCCACTTGGGCCAGGAGAAGAGTCCAAAACTGAAATGCCACAACATATTGGATTGCGATGCATTTTTTCTTTCCCTTCGATTTCTTTTTCTAATGATTGCCAATTGCGTTTTTGTGCAGTGGCCTTACACAAACTAAGGTTGCGAACTTCTTCCCCACCCAGTTCATTCCGAAAAAATGGACAATTCAACACCAAGCTATTACTCTTGTTGTCGCCTTCGTCTACACAGCTAAGCTGATCTGGATTGTCAGCAAAACTATTTCGACTCACTGATGCAGCAGATGCTCCAGTTGTAGTATTTTTTCTTTCTGTAGAGAAACTTTTTCTCTCAATAAACTCACACAAATTCACAGTGATGCTCTGACAATCAAAATGAACAAATGCTTTTTTCTGGTTTCTTTCCTCATTTCGACCATCGGAATTGTCTGCACTGGCATCACTATTCTTCATATTCACTTCAGATCCATCAATTTTGGATCCACGCAGTTTTCGGAAAATGCCAGATCCTGCTTCACCAGTGATAGACTTGGCTCGCATTTTGCGATCTTTGTGCTTGAATTTAGCTTTAAATTTAGGACTTTGAGCCATGTCGTTATCCTTATCAGTTAGAATTCCTCCTGATTTTAAACTGCCTTGAATAGATTTTTCACAAATTGCTTTTCCTCGTAAAACTTCGTGTATTTTTGGAGGTGCAGGGCTTCGTTGATCAGAGTTACCAGATCCGAAGTCTCTTAGCATAGCAAAGAAACCCTCGTGGCTTTTATGAAGCAGGTCAAGAGATGATGTGCTGCCGTATTCCCTTCGAGAGCTGAATGCCAATGGTGGAATATCGTCATCAGAATATTCAACACTGTCAATTTCTAAGTTGCTATTGCTCCTATGTAGTCCCGCTCGCCTTAATGATTGACGTTTGTTTTCATTCAGTATCTGATGTGTGATTGGTTGTTGGGAAGGAACTGAATGAGGAGGGACAAGATAAGGAATTGTTGAGGTGGTAGACATTGTCATAGTGGTTGTAGGGGTTGTGGTGGAGGCTGTGGTGGTGGTGGTGGTGGATGTGGTGGTGGTGATGGTGACAGAGGTAACAGTGCCAGGTTTGCCATTATCCCGGTAACGTGCCAAAATTTTTTCATTGTATGAACTATGCATCCCCCTCAGATACCTTAAGCTGGTTCGCTGAAAATTTTCACGTGTTTGGAAATAATCCCTTTCTAAATCACCACCGTTATGGTCACTACCTGATTTCTGTACATTACTTTCCACATCATTATTATTATCAGATGAGGGCGGAGTTTTGTCACTGAGGATATGTTGCTTATAGAAATCCACAGTTTGTTTTGGTCTGTTTTGTGATGTGTCAGGGACCATGATGTGGGAGGAGCCTCCATTGACGCCCCTTTTTGATGAAACAAGTTGTTCATCAGAGGCCATATCACATTCACACATCAATATATTACCTTTTATGTAATTTTAACAGGTGTGAGAGTTTGGTATGTACAATCCCTTGAATTCTAACGTTAGAAATTACAAGGAACTTCATGATTTTATTAAAAAATATTTTTTAAAATAAATTTAAATTTTTGAAAAGACCACAAAACTGGTCATTTTTCTAATAAAAAATATTACATTATTTACAGTTGTCCATATCAACTATACAGTTAGTAAATATTGCCAGTTAACATGACACTGGCTTAGTGATAAAATGTTTAAACTTTGTGCACACAGCAACATCATGTAACTTATGCAAATGTCATGCTATAATGAGGACGCAATACTTAAAAACTCCAACTTTGTTCGTTCTGTGAGACTGAAGTTTTCCAACTCTCCAACACAAAGAGTAAAATAGTGGATTGCCTGTAAAGAGAAGACAAAAAAAAAAATACGTAAATATTGTGAAAAAGGATATAATGGGATGGGGAAACATTCAAACTCAATAAAAAAGAAAGAAAAAATGCATGTGAAAAATAGTAAAATCTTGCAAAGAGATTGCAAATTCCTTAACACGAAAGATTATCAGGAAGATATATTATCAAAAACTTGAAATAATTGCTTCAATCATCATCCTTATTGCTACTATCATTATTATCCACTCTTTGACAAACATTATTGAAACACACATACACACACACACATATATATATATATATATATATATATATATATATATATATATATATATATGGTATAAAATTACAATTGGGAAAAATCTTAGATTTTGCCGATGCATTTCGTCTTGTCCACAGAAGCGATCTGGGAATTTATATATATATATATATATATATAAAAAACATTAGAATATTCTATTCTTTTCTCACAATCTTTCTGTAAGAAAGAAAATGCAGAAGTACAATTTATTAGAGTAGCAAATATGTTTTTCTGCAAAAACTGTAAGAGATATCTATAGAACTTTAGAAGAAACCAATCAGTAAAAATTTAAAAAAAAATTAATTAATAAATATATAAAAAAGTAAAGTACACAAATAAATATACAGAAATATGAAAAAAAAGTTGCATTTTAGATAATAATCCTGAGAAAATTTAGTTTATTGGAAAGTAAATCTCACAATGAAGAGAGACAGAATTTTAACTTTAAAATCAAATTTTTGTTCTTTTCAATGTATTAAACAATTTTAATCAAAAGTATAAATTTTGATAAATTCTTTAGTTAAAAATTTAGAAGTGATTTTTGGTAGTCATGTAAAATCCTTAAATATTCAAGTTATAAATAAAAAAATTAAATATTACAAAATAATTTGTAAAATTTGAATATTTAAAATAATTATTTGCTGAAATAGAGATAGCTATTTAAGGGTAAATTTAGAGAGGTAGAATAGATTTTATCACCAGATAAGAGATTGCATTAAAAAAACCAAAAAAACCAAAAAGAACAAACAAAAAACAAAAAAAACACTAAATAAATAAAAACACCTTGATTCAAATTTGTAAATGTAGATAAAAAAAAAGAATCATATTTACTTACAGTTACAACATACAAAATTGACTAAATAAGCATGAAAATAAAATGTTAAACTTTTTCTGATCACTATTTAAATGTATTTTTAATATATAAATTGACTATCAGCCTGTACAAGCCAATTGAATATTCAAAATAATAACGTTTACTATTCATTTGTAAAGGTTTTTTTTAAAAAGTGATAGAATTTATTAGATATTCTATTTTTTTTTTTTTAAATCAATTTAAACATTATTTTTAGTACATACCCATATTAAACAAAAATTTATGCTCCCTGGCAGGATTAAAACCAGTGTCCTTCTGGGTAGAGGGATCTACAGTGTGTGTGTGTGTGTGTATAATATGGACGGATAAATGCTCATATCTAATATACAGAAACAAATGTTTATTACTAGCTGCTAGATTTCTTATAAAGAAAGAGTATCATTTCTAATTGAAAGAATGCTTATTTTAAAACTTTAATTTACATAATGACTAAAACAAGACCTAATAATGGCAACAAAAAATTATGTGCTTATGAGTCTGTATGCACACTTATCTGTAAGAGTGGGGAAATTTTCTACATTTTTGTGTGTATATCAGACATATATGTATATATCATGAACATGCATACATACATAGACACACATGTTTGAGAATAAATATCTAACCTATAGGGTCCTAACTGATGAGTCTCAATAACTGACAAGTAACCTCTGTTGCCTGTATGGAAGAACCATGCTTGAACCCAGGGTCAACATCTGATGAAAGCTTTGTTTAGTTCACTGCCATTGTTTTCAGCACTATGTGCATATGAACTTTATGTACGGTGTGTGAAAAAAAAAAAAAAAAAAAAAAGTTTAAATTTAAAAAAAAATTTTTCCCAATGCTTCATTTTTATAAAAAGTAAAAACCAATACTGACAATTATTGACTAATCTTTATAATTTAAAGCAGTTGATTAGATAAATCTTCAAATTTTAATATCATTTGTAGCTGATATATTGGTAGTGCATACAGGCATGGTACCACAAAACAAAAAAGTCAGAGTGGAGTGGTGGGGATAATTCAAATGTTGAAAGTGAGCTGGCTCTGAACGGTTTTGGATGTTAAGTTTTAAAGACTGGATTTTTTAAAAAAAAATTAGTACTTATTTTCTGGAATGAGACAGACCTTTTCAGTATATAAGACATAAAAGTTGTAGAAGCTAATATTGGGGAATGTATGTGGGGGTGCTAAGTCAGATGTTTGAAAAATTCCTGCTTCTAATGGTTTTATTTTTTTAATTGTATTGTCTTGATTTTAAATACATTTTTTTTTTTTAATATTTTGTATGTATTTTCTGGAATGAGACCTATAGACTTTATCAGCAGATAAGGCATATATGAAAGATTTCTGATTCTATTTTTTTTTTTTTTTTTAATTGTATTGTCTTGATGTTAAATACATTTTTTTTTATATTTTGTATATATTTTCTGGAATGAGAACTATAGACTTTCTCAGCAGATAAGGCATATAAAAGTTGTAGAAGCTAATGTTTGGATGTAGGACAGGGGAGTGTGCATGTGGTGGGGAGGTGATATGTCAGATGTTTGAAAGATTTCTGATCCTATTTTTTTTTTTAATTGTATTGTCTTGATTTTAAATATATATTTTTTATTTCCATTTTACTTATTTTCTGGAATGAGACCTATAGACTTTCTCAGCAGATAAGGAATATAAATGTTGTAGAAGCTAATGTTTGGGTGTGGGTCAAAGTTGTGTTCATATGGTGGGGGTGATATGTCAGATGTTTGAAAGATTCCTGATTCTAATTTTTTTTCATTTAGTCATCTTATAAAATGATGATTTTTTATTTGTTATTCATTTTCTAACTGTAAATAATTTCTAAAATAAAAACATCAATGATAGTTGCCTGGGCATCTATATTTCATGCAAATCTTGAAATTATAAAAACAGAACTTAAAAAATTTTTCCGACTAATTTTGAAAATTAATGGCAGTAATGATTTAGACCAGCAGTTTTCACACTTTTTTGCCCAATGCACCCCCATTTCACCATATGTCACTCCCCCCCACATTTTCAAGATTGTCCAACTCAATAAGTGTAGTCTAAATAATATGCATTTATTATTGAAAAAAGAAAAAAAAATCTTTCTTTTCCATATCAGAACATTTACATTTCCAGGTATTATTTTTATAGAGAAGTTTTATTTTTTTTGACACTCATAATGGGCTCCAAATTATGTAAATAAGAACTTAGAAAAAGTAAGAGATTTTTTCATCTCTGCACTGAAACCCTGAAAATCCCCTCTGGGATGTGAAAATTCCCCCCTGGTTGAGAACCCCTAGTTTAGACAAATGATACAACTTAGCTCAATAACATTGTTACAGAGTGAAATCACATTTAGTCCTTTAGTTTTCAAAGGCGTGGGAACACAACCTCTCTACAACCAGCTTAACAGACAAACATGACTGGAAGATTCTATCCATGAATTTCTGGGATAAGGAATTATTTGCATTATTTACATTTATTTAAGGTTTCAATAGTTAATCATCATTGATTACTTACTTTTAAACATACATATACAATCTATATAATAAATGTGAATGTCAGTGTGTCACATTTTTTCAACTTTACTTCTAGAGGTTGTAGCCAAACATATGATACCATTTTGGAATCAGGTCGACTGGGAGCAAATTAAAAACATTCTGGGCCTGATCCAGACCCACAATCCTGAAATTTTCCCAAGTTTTCATTACTGTGATTGCTTTTCGGTGAATTTTTTTATGTGATTTTTTTGCAGAAAATTTTTTTGTATGATAATTTTTATAACTTGAAAATAAATATGGAAATAAAATTAATTGCGAAAGTCATCCATGAAATAAAAATAATTGTTTGTATGGAAAGTAAGGCTGTATGTACATCAAATTGTCTTTAAATTAAATGGTGGCAGAAGAATTATTGTTGAACTTTTAAAAGGTAAGCTTGAATATTAATGCAATATGCAGTGATCAATTTTGATATCTGTCATTTATTGTTGCCTATTGCATCTACTCCTCCATATCTATTGTGTTGAAGGGTCCCAGCAAAAGCCCTCTGTAGGAGCTAGCTTAAATGTTGCCTGATAGGAAGGCTTTTAAGTTAGTATATACATACATGCTGCTGCCACTTTGTTGAGAAAGACCATTGCAAGATATCATTACAAGATTTAATTGGGACTTACAATATCAAGCAATGACTGTAGGAAATTTTTAAGTGGAGAAAGACATATTAGGTAAATCCCACTCTAGACAAGAACAGTGTGTACCTAAATAGAAACTAATCAATATTATAGGATAGAGTCAAGCTACAGGTGTTATATCAGTTTTCTTTCTTTTTGTTGAATACCTTAATGAAGGCTAAGGTTTCAACATTTTTAGTGGGCTTACTGCACATGTAAACATCACCCCAGGATTCTCAACATCGCCTGTACTAGA